TCGTTTCGCTCAGAGGTCCTCTGTGTTTGTGTTTTTGTTTGTTTGGTGCCTTCTTCCTCCTCCGGACCAAGTGCTCCTTGAGAGCAGACGCTCAGTCTTCCTTTCTCAGGTTCCTGAGGGGGTCCCAGCACAGGGGCCTGTGCACTGCTCTGCCAGCACTTAAACAGTGTTTGTTGAGTGAATGGGTGAATGAATGAACGCCTGAGGGCCAACTGGAAAAGGACCAGAACCAGAGAGACCACGGAGCACCTGGGATGTGGAAAGATCCAGAAACTGAAAGAGCTGGGGCTGTCCAGCCTGGAAAATGAGAGATTGTAAGTGGTAGTTGTGTGTGTGTGTGTTCTCTCAGAGAGAGAAGTTTTTGGATATAGCTTTGCAGGGATTTGCTCTCTGAAGCAGAACCAGGAGCCACAGAAAGCAGGTTTCCCCTCAGGGTGGGCGCTGCTAGGTGTGTGCAAGACTCCCAGGGCCTGGAGCTGCACACGGGGCTGCCTGAGCATTTATTGGGTCCAAGGAGAGCCCTGCATGGAGCAAGATGTCGACTGGCAAGGCCCTGAGGTCCCCAGTGACTCATGTGGCTACTTCATGGAGAAGAGTAGTAGCAATCAGCTGGTGTCTCTGAACTTCAGTTTTCTCATCTATAAAATGGGATTAATAGGGAACTGTTAGGAGAATTAAAGTGAGTTAATGCCCACAAAGCTCTAAGGACAGTGCCTGGCACATGGAAAGCTTACAATATTAATTGGAGTGTTTAGTAAACAAGGCCAGAGAGATATATAGGAAGGAGAGCTGAATCGGGGCTCTGGGGGGGGGGTGAGGGCTTCTTTGAAGGAGTGGGATGCAGGGCGAGCATGGAGGGCTGCTCTGTGCCAGACTCTGCACTCAGGGCTCAGAGTGGTTAAGTCGCTTCCCTGAGGTCACACAGCCCTTGAGTGGGGTGGGGGGGTAGTCTTCAGCCACAGTAGGCAATTCCAAAGCCTGGACTCTCCCCTCCACGCCTGGGCTTTGGGATGGAGCTGGGTTTCTGTGATTCTCACACCCTGGAATGGATAGTGCCTCATTTCAAGGTGGAGCAAAGCGATTATTATTACTCTCTGTGGTGGGGGGACCTAAGTCCTCAGGAGTGAAGCCTCCAGCTCTCTCGCACCCCGAGAGAGCTATAAAAACTTAAAAAAATGTATGAGGGGAGGTTGAGGGCTGACATTTTTGGCAGCCCATTGCCATGAGAGCACGTGGCAAGGAGAAGCAGCCCCAAGGGGAAGATGGGAGGAATGAGGTTAGACATTAAGAAGAGCAATGGTGAGATGAGGGGTGGCGTGAGGGGGTTGAGGAAAGGGAAATAGATACACTACAGAGTGAGGAGGCGGCAGGAGGCTGTGCAGGTGGAGAGGAGCCCAAGTTCAGTGGCATTTGGGCCAGTAGGCGGCACCAGCCTTGGGGCAAGCGTTCCTGGCTGGGGCCAGTCCCCACAGGGCTACCGGGCAGTGAAAGGGGGCGTGTTGTGGGGTGGGAGGCCTGTTGGCCACTACACATATGACAGCTGGGATAGCACATGTGAGCTAAAAGTTCGGCCAGCCCAGCGCCTCGCCTCCGCCAGCCTGGCAGCCGGCTTTGCCAAAGGCCAGCTCTCACGCTGGGGCCAGCATGCTGGCCACTGATCAGCTCCCCAGGCCCGGACTCATCAGGTCACTGTTCTGTCCTTAACGGCTGCTCAGCTTCTGGCAGTTTCTGCTTCTTGGACCTTCAGAGATAAATGGGAAATGGTCCCAGGCTTCAAGGAATTCGCGGATGAAGGGGCCGAGAGACAATGGCGGTGTGTGCGGCTGTGGAACTTGCCCAGCTCCCTTTCCCGAACAGTTTGTCGAGGATTCAATGATACCCATCATGTCCGTTCTTTATCATCTGAAACGGGCCGAGTTCTCTTCCCTTCCCTGTGCTTGCTGTGTGCCAGCAGTGTTTATTGTCTGCTCTGTCCGCCTCGGGATGCTGTCTGGTTTATGGTATGCAGAAGAGAGCGCACCTCTGGTGATATCCAAGCAGCATGGAGCGAAGTGGAACTCTCACCGCCTTCGGTCCGGGTTCCGTGCCTTTATTAATGTGACCCGAGTGCAGCTGCCGTTTGGGGGCAGCCGTCTCCTTCTGCGGTGGAACTGAACTTCTGTTTTCACTAACTCCGAGAGCTTTCCCTACATGAACTATTATCTGTTTTTTCAAATGACTTTTGAACCTTAGTTCAGGACTTTACCCCAAGAGAAATGTTCCTTTACTAATTTTATCTTGTTTATAAAGTCAGTTTTGCATTTGAATTTATTTCAGCATCTTAGCTCTTTTTTTCTGTTTTTTTTTTTTTTTCTCCTTTGGGTACTGGGTAGGCCTCCGTTCTTCACCTAAGTTACTGATAAGTATGTTGGACAAGCCAGGACAGAGGACAGAGCCCTTTGGCAAGTTGACATTGATCTATTAATCAACACCGCCTAGGAATCCACTTGGCTTTCTATCCCACCTTTGAGCATTTCATCGAGGATCCTGCCAGCACCTTCCTGAAACCCAGATAACCTAGGTCTGGGGGAGTCCCTGACCTTCCAGTTGAGGAACCTAATAATGCTGAGGTCAGGGTGGTGGATGTGCCTCGCTGAGGGAGGCTGTGGGCCCCCTGAAAAGCCCAGGCTGAAGCTAGTGATCTCCTCAGAGGAATCCAGCCTGGACGGCCAGGCAGACTCAGAGGAGGACAGGGCCGCCGCAGGTGTCAGAGACAAGCAGCGGGCAGGCGGTTTCCCCATGTTTTCCTGTCTTCTGCCCTCACACTGGGGTGCACATCTGAGCGTAGGGAGCTGGAGTGTAGAAGGCCTGGCACTGCTTCCTCCTCGGGGGAGTGTGTGACAAAGGACCCAAGGCTGTGTCCATTTCTGCACTTGGAGAGGTGATGGGAAAGCACCCAAATGCATGCAGATCGGGGACACTGGTGGGGAGGAGAGGGTGGCCCCTGTTCTGGCCTCAGTCTGGCCTGAGTGTTAGGGATGATGAACAGAAAGGGAAGTGACCAGTGACTTGGCCTGTGGAGCCTCAGGAAGGGAGGGAGGGACAGGGGCTCTGTGGGGCCGCAGGGGAGGGCGTGGCTTCTGGAGCGTGCCATGGGGGAGCCCTGGCAAAGGGGGGTCCTAGGGCATGACTCAGAGATGAAAGCATCCCGGGGGACTAGTCCAAACTCATCTCTGGCTTGTGCCGGTGCGTGTGTGGTAGTGGGGGGGGGCGTGGTCAAAAGGGAGATGGGCAACCCAAATGCACAGACATTGACCAAATGCCTGGGGTGACCCCCCACCCCCAGGGCCTGGTTTCCAGCCTTCCGCATGTTGGGTTCAGCAGGATTCTGAGGCCTGGGGCCTCAGGTTTGGGGACCGGGGCATGTGGCCCTGCCAAGGACACTGGAGTGGGTGGCTCCCGTAGCTCCCTGGGAGACCGTGTCTCCCCCGTCTTCAGATGATGGTGTTTTTGGTCAACCTTTGCCCTCAGAGGAGCTTCCACTTAGTTGTGTAAGGACCTGGGAATCCGTCCCCTTGAGACTGTAGGTCACCTGACATGACACCCTCCAGGGGAGCGTTGGGACCTAAGGAATCCCCACCTGCATCATGCAGTGACATGGGCTTGAGTGGGAAGATGTGGATTCGAATTCTGTTCCTTTCATCAGCTGCTCTGGAGTTTTGGGTAAGTCACTTCACCACACTGAGCCCATCTCTGAGACGGATAGAAACCACGGCCACGTCCCAGGTTTTAGTGGAGGCCAGCACGGAAAAGCAGCAGGGGGAAGAACGGGCACTTAGATGCTGATTAAAGTGAAAGGAAGGGAGAGTGAGAGCAGCTCCTGGTCCAGGCTCACCCCCCTCCACCCCGCCGTGGTGGGGCCGAGGGGCAGGGGAAATCTGGATTCAGCATTTTCGGGCCGTCTTTCTCTGGATGTTATCTTTGTCCTTTCTCCTCTCTCTGTCCCCTCTGTCTTCCTTTCTGTTGTGTCCCCTCCTTCCCTAGATGAAGTGCCTAACTCAGCACCTGGCCCCAACACACACAATTCATTTTCCCTGCTTGTTTCAATGGCTTCTCTGTGGCTCTGCGGCCGCCACCACCCCCAGTTCTGTCTCTTTCCTCCTTCTAGGTCCCTGTGGCTGACCTCCTCCTTGTCCCACTCTCTCTCCTCCTGACATCCCTCCCTCTGTTTCTCTGGCTTCTGTCTTCCCTCAACAGGCATCCATTGACCACACAGGAGATGCCTGGCACTGCCCTGCTCCTGCCTGCGTTCCGTGAGTCTCCGTGCCTCCTTGCTGCTGACTTCGCTCCCTCTGCCCCCACAGGCCTCCTGCCCTCCCATCCCCCCCCCACTAGCTCCAACACTGGTGTTATTCAGTTTTATGAGAAACCCCCAGGCCTGCCCCTGAACGGACCAACCACAACTGGAACCAGATGTGCGGTGCTGCACATGGGGATGGGAGGGAGGGAGGAAGGGAGGAGGGAAAGGGGTCTGGGCTGGCTCCTGAGGCAGGCGGGGGGCTGGGGGATGGGAGATGGGAAACCCTGGGAATTCTGCGTCTTCATTGGTTAGGAGGAGGAGGAGTGGGGAGAGAAAAAGGGCTGAGCAGGCTTCTGCACAAAGCAGTTCTCACTTCGAGTGTGTTTGTATCAATGACAGAGGGACAGACACTGGGGGAAGCCGGGGGGTGGCTGATGGGCTGTGGGACAGCTCATGGACATGAAGGGGAAGGCTGCTCCTCTTCTTTGAAATCCTCTTGCTCCTCGACTTCCTGTCTGTGTGGTTTCTAGAGACTTGCTGAACTCATGGTTCTGGGCCCAGGTGCTGGGAGAGGGGGTGATGTTGGGGTGGGGGGTGGAGCGTTTCACCACCGAAGCCTCCTTGAGAGCAGCTGGAGAGGGTGTCGCTCAGAGTCCCCTGGAGCTGCCGCAGACCTGGGGTGGATGGGATGCACCCGGGACATCACGTGTTTGTCTGATTGTCCCCATGTCTTACTTAGCATGGTGAGTTTTTCTGTCCGTGATTACATAGCTTTGAAGATAAAAGTCAGCCAGCAATGATCTTGGTACAGCCTTGTGTGAAATTAAGCATTAAAAATGCCCCTTTATTTAATTTTTAACCAGTCACCCATCCATCCGTGCATCCATCTCGTCATTGTTGGCGTATTCAGTCCACCTTTATTGAGAATCCATTATGAGTCAAGCTTGCTGGGCACTGGACATACTAGGAGAAGGGAAGGAAAAGGTAAATCTTTGCTCAGTGGGAGATACACCCAACAAGCCTCGGCATTAGTATGTGAGCAAGAGCCTTGGGTGTTCAGAGGGGACGGTGTCTACCAAGTGGTGCCATTGGGGGAGGATCCATGGCTTTTAAAGGGAGCCCTGAATGCTGATGTGGAGAAGAGGGAACCTTGGGATAAGTAGGCCCGAGAAGCAGTGCCATCAGAGAGGGCTGCGGAGGTCCTGCCGTGGAGGTGGGACAGGATAGGCTGTGGGGGGCCAGGGACTATTTGATGTCAATCAGGACGATAATGGGTGTGGGTTGGAAAGAGGAAAGATGGATGATTCTTCTGCTGTACCGTGACCCCCAAAATGAAAGGGGCGCCTTTCATTTTCTTAAGAGTCTCCCCACCCACCTCTAGAGGATCCTATATTGCTGACACGGAGTCCTCACCTCCTTCCCCTGACCACGGCTGGTCCAAGCCCAAGAGCAGACCTAGGCCTGCAGGGCGCATGGCGTTAGGCAGGATAAGGCTGTTAGGAGCCCTTTGCCTTAGAGTTGGGGTCAGAGAGGGCTGGGCACAGGATGGGGAGGCAGGTTTTCCTACTTAGTCCAATAGTCTCGGAGGCGAGTTCTGTGGGGCATCTGTCCTTCCATCTGTGGCCACACTCACCTGCTCACAGGTTGAGGCTGCTGTCAGTGCTGGAGGTTCTGAGATGCTGGAGTTGGGGACTCTGGCGACCAGGCTCTTCCCACCTTGGAAGGAAGGTCCTCTTGCTCTGGAGGTGGGAGGTGGGTATAATGACACCTCCATCTCCACCTCCCCTACATCAGATCCTGAGAAGGCGCCCTTCTCCCTCCCATCCTCAGGGGTTTCTCTGTCACTGATGGGGATGGGGAGCCGCTCTCTAAGATGCTGACCATCTCCCCTGTGATGCTCATGCCCCCATGCTTGTCCCTTCTGGGTCTCCCCTGTCACTTTCTTTCTTTGGAAAATTGAAGCCTGAGGAATGGTTTAGTTGAATTAATAAAATTGGTGAGTTAGAACTGGGAAAGATGTTGAATACCTTTGGCTCCAATCTCATCGTACAGCAGGGGACACTGAGGCCCGTAGATCAGGTCACTGGCCCAGGACCTCACACAAAGGTGGCCCAGATGGAGAGAGGAAGGCTCTTTCAATTTCTGATGGGCTGGGCAGTAAGGAGCTTGGCTCCAGAGGTGGCCAGTCAGGTCTGAGCTCCTGCTCTGTACCATTCTCTGTTGTTTTGGACAAGTCACCAAACTGCTTTGAGGTCACTTTCTTCAGCGAAAATAACAGGGTAATTCCAAAATTCAGTGAGAAAATGCTTAAGAGCCTGGTGTACAAGAGGTGTGCAGCAAATGACTTTTCCCTTCCCTGCAAAATAATCTTATCTGCTTCTTCGCTTCTATCATGTATATAGTACTCCACACTTTACAAATCTCATTTCCCCCAGTCTTTCAAATTGTAAAATCTTGTCCATGTACAAAATATTTGTACATGTACAAAACTTAAAGGAACTTATGGTTAACATCCTGGGTTCTATAAAGAACACTTTGGCACGGTCCTTCTCTCCCATTTCTGTTTATCTCTCCATCCATCAATCCATCTTATTTTTTGATGCATTCATTCAGATGGAATTGAAGCATGCACTTAATTAACTAGCATTCAATTCAAATCAGTTTTGCACGTGCCGTCACAAATATCCATAAGGAAAACACAGATTCAGAAGTGAGATTCTAGGTCAACAGTCACAAAATGAGCGCTCTGCAAAAGTTGAGAGTTGCTCTTCTTCCTCCTCTTCTTCCTCCTCCTCATCATCTCAACAAGCTTCCTCACTCAGCGGTGGTTCAAGGCAGCTGAGTCTCTTCCTTGGGTTCTTGCCCCGCTTTCTTCACTTCTGCCCTGCAAGCTCTTTGGCCCCGTCCCCAAATGCCCTCAGGGAGGCTGCTGGGCCTGTGGCTGACGGACAGGGAGTCCACATGGCTTGGTGTGCCCTGCCTGGGGGGTGCCTGTGCCCTGCCACTGCCAGCCTGGCTGAAGCTGGGTGTGAGCGCCGCAGGGGTTAAAGGAGGCGGCAGTGGGGCGGGCTGCTGGCCGGCTCCGGGAAGAAGGCGGTGCGTGCTTGCCCGCCTGCCGCTGCCGGGGGAGGGAGCTGGGCCAGCAGCGCCCTTGCTCAGTTGCTCCCAGCAGTAGCCCTGGGGCCAGCTCTGCTCCCCGTGCCTGCTCCCTGCCTGGACACAAGGCTCACTCACGCCCTCCTCTCAGCAACCAGCTTCCTGCCAGCTATAGCTGCTGCCCCATCACTAACTCACCACCCTGTCCTGTGAGCCCAGATACCCACCCCATCCAGGGGTTCCTCGGCCAGAAAGGTGAGTGTGGGGTCTGTGGGTGCTGCTGGCTGTCCTTACAGATGCTGTCAGGGCCACTGACCAGGGCATACGTTAGGGGAGGAGGTCAGCCCTCCTGGTCGCAAGTCTGTGTGCCAGGCTTACCCCTCCGGCCAACCTGTCAGTCCCCTCTTCAGACGTGTCTGAGACTTTTGCAGTGATTTCTGGGGTGTGGTTGTCCATTCAGAGAGACACAAGTTCAGAGGAGTCTTGTTTGCTGGGGAAGTTGCTGGTGTCAGTGGCTGCAGACCGTTCCCCTGAAGTGAGTGGGGAGGGACACACCTACTGAAGAAGGGAGGAGGTAGGGAGTATCCCGCCTCCAGCGCTCTCCTCCCCACCTGCCTGCCCGTGTGGGGCTGCCCTGGGGAAGAGGACCCTGAGAAGAGCAGGCAGCTTTTCCTCCTAGTTCTGTCCCCCGCCACCCGCTGGAGTTGTTACTGGGCCCCCTTTTCCTCCTTGAGGTTCTCCTTGCTCCCTTCCCTCATTTCCCAGGGGCTGGCCATGTCTGTAAGGGAGGGTCTGGCAGACCCGGGAAGGTTGGAGTTAAAAGCGCGCCCCTCAGCTTGGGTCCCTGCTCCCCTGCCATGGGCACAGCCTGGCATGAGTGCCCCTGCAGCCCTCCCCCAGTCAGCTTCTCACTCCTTCCTCAGCCCTCTGGGCAGAAATGGCTAATCCAGGTGGTTAATGAACAGACACACACAGCTGCCTTTCACCCCCCTGTCCTTCCTTTCCCCCCACCCCTGACCCTCCGATGCCCTGCCTGCCACCCCTGCCCAAACTGGAGAATTCATACAGAGCTATTCTCAGTGTCTGTCCATCAGCTCCCAGTTCAGGACCAGGGCCAAGACTGCCTGCCCAGATGTTCTGGGGCTGTCTGTCCCCTGTCCTAGAAGAGGAAACTGGGAAGGGAGTGACCTAGGGGGGTGACCAGGAGCAGCCTGCTGTGCTCCCGAGCTGTGTTCCCTGCAGGGGGTCTGATGGGGTTAGAGGACAGGAGGGGTGCTGGGTAGGGGAAGGCAGGTGGGTGGTAGTGGGGTGAGGCTAGGAGGGGGACCTGGAACTAGGGTTCAGAGTCTCTGGGGGGCAGGGGCATCTTCTGGAAGCCCCAGCACCTGTTCCTGTGGCAAAGCCAAGAGGGGGGTCGGGAGGGTGCGGAGGGAGCACTCTCTTCCCTCGAGTCTCTGCCAGGCCCCTTCCTGAAGCTGCCTGGGTGGGGTGGGGACCATTGTGGCTCTGACTTGGCCTTAAGTTGCTCCTACCCCTGCCAGCTGGCGGATACTTCTGTCTCCCCCACCCTTGCTTTCCCCCAGGACCTCCGAGCTGAGCCACCCTCTGCCCAACCTCTCTGGCCGAAGGGTGTGGAAGGGAGGGCCCGGACCTGGCTCTGGTTGAAAAGCTGGGTGGGAGGGCTCCACGTGGGATCAGTGCTGGGATCCCACTTGGGGTTGGCCTTGACTCTGCTGCCCATGGAGGGTGGGGCCCTGGGAGGGGCTCAGCTAATCTAGCAGATCTGCCAGTGCTGGGAACCAGGACTCTGATCTGGAAAAGAGAGTTCTTGGGTGGTGGAGGAGGCAACTTGGGAACCTCTGCTTCCAGATCTCTGGCCTTGAACCCTTCTGGCTCTCCATCCCATTCTTCATCCCATACTTCACCCCATACTTCTACATACTTCATGTCCTTCAAAGCCCCGATTCAGAACCTCCCATGGGGACTGTGGTGCCCAGCATGATAAAAACAGGATGCGTGGTGGCCATGTGGAGGGGAGTTGGGCTGGTGTGCTGCTGAGTTCAGAAGCGGGGTCCCCATTTGGCTAGTAATTTCTCATCACTGATGGACAGTCACCGAAACTTGGAGTTTGGGAGCTCTCGGTTCCTGTCTCGTCTGAGGGAGGAACTGGAAGCAGAGGGGCAGATGGATTTGTGTTTGGTGAAGGACGCTTGGCTTGAGTTTAATGAAGGGCTTTCCAATAAGCCTGGCAGGTCAGTGAGAGAACAGGCTTCCTTGTAAGGTAGTGAGCTTCCCATCTTGGGAGGGAGTTCAGACAGAGGCTGGACAACAGCTTGGAAGGATTCCTGAGCTGGGATGTGGTTAGAAGAGATGAACTCTAAGGTCTCTTGGGATGCTGAGGTCCTGGGATTCTTGGAGTTGGGAAATTCTCTGACACCCGGAATAGGGGAGCAGCAGGGTGGTAGCCTCTGGCCTGGGGATGCACACATTTGAGGACCTTGCAGGCCAGGGCGTCCTCCTCCCCTCCAGCGTTTGGGGAACAGAGAGCCTGCTTTCTGCCCTCACACCCATTGCTCAACCACCCAGCAGCTCTGCCCCAGCTGCTTCCTGCAAAGATTCTGAGTTGCTTCCGATTCTTCTTGTCCCACTCCATGCCTTGTCCTGCCGGTTAACTCCACAAGATCTGGAGCAGACCTGTGGGCTCTTTGACACCGTGACACCGTGGGGAATGGAGGGCTCAGAGGCAGCACAGACCTCTACCCACTCCCTGTTGAAGTCAGAGCCCATGTCCCCTGCTGAGGGGCTACCTGGGGCCAGTGTGCCAGGACAGGGAGGGAGGGTTGCTTTGAGGTTGGGCAGCTCGAGCTCCTGCCCCAGTTGGCTCACCCCCTCCGGGGGCCTCCCCAGCCTGCCTGGAGATGGTGGGCAGAGGACTGGTGCCAAGATCCAAGATGCAGAAAAACCTGGGGGCAACTCTTACCTAAGCCTCAGTTTCTAAACTTGTAAATAGTACAGGTTGTCAGGGCAGCTTGAAGTGGTTTGTGTAACTAGCAGCGGGGTTGCGAGCCAAGGGTGCATTCTCCAGGGCCTCTCAGGAGGAGTGTGGGAGGTGCGGGTCACTCCCCCCTTCCCCTGGACCGCCTGGCTCTCCAGACCTGTTTTCCAAGGTGAGCAGTTGGAGGGGGGTGACACCATTAAAGATTTCTGTACACCACCCTCTGGAGACTTGGGTTTCCCATGATGGGCGTGTCAGGGTGGGCTTCGGGAGTAGGCTGAGGACCCACACTGGGCCTCCTGGCCCCGGCTGCCTCTCCTTCCAGCCTCCCTTTTCTCCTTAGTGGAGAGAGTGAAGGAGTAGGGCCTGAGGCCACCCCAGTCAGCCCCTGCCTCCAATCAGGGCAGCCCCTTGCACCGTCCTGGCTTCTTCTGCAGATAAAGTCCTTTCCGGTGTCTCACTGCAGTCCCCTGCCTTGAGCCAGGGACTAGGGCCTGCTCTTCCCTCCGGTTGGACAGAAACCCACAGAGAGATGGTGGGGTGTTGGGGCCCGACAGAGGAGAGGCTGAGTGTGCCCCAGAGCTCAGGGAAGTTGGGGGCGGGGCTGGGGTGGCCAGCAGAGGCTCTTAGCTGAAGGCAGTTCTGGCTTCTTGGCTTATTTTTGGGGCCGTGAGTCTCTTTTACTCCAACAAGGGAAACTGAGGCCCAACTGAGGGTTGTGTACTGGAGAGGGCGGAAGAGTCAGCCCTCCCAGTCACTGTACTCGCAGGAAAGCAGATCAGAAATGCGTGTGGCGTCTAGGGAGGGATAGAGTGTTTGGGGGAGACTAGGGCCCAGACTTTTGTCCCTAGTGCTGGACCTCCAAAGCTCTGGCTCTTAGCTTTCAAGGTTATCAGGCCTGCACAGGTATGGGCACCACTGAGCTGGAACGAGGGTAATGGGGGCAGCGGGGCGGCCAGGTTCGCAGGCCATGCCCACCTCCCTCGGCGCCCCCTCCATTATGCGCAGTCACACGCAGGTCCAGCTCCTTCTCCTTCCTCTGTTCAAATTGCCAAAAGCACTTTCCCATCACTGAAGAGGAGGCCACAGGCGACGCAGCTGGGTCCCTGCGTTGCCTCTACCAGTTTGGTGACTTTGGCCATCTTCCTACTTCTCTGCACCTTGGTTTCCCTTGGGGAAGGTGTCTGGTCTCCATGGAGTTGGAGCCTGTGTGGGGTGGGGGTGGTATGCTCGAGCCAGGACTAGTCTGGGCTCTGTAATCCCTGCCTTTTTAGGTCTGGAAGCCTGTAGCTCAGGCTGGGTGTTCTGGGAGGTAGGAGCAGTCTTGTTCTGGTCCAGAAGGGCAGGATCTTGGGAGTTGATGGGGACCGAGGGGTTCCAGGAGCCCTGAATGGGATTGTATCCTTCCTTCACTATGGGGGGAGGTCCCAGTCCTGCATCCAGGTCCCCCTTCCTAGACCTTCTCCAGCGGAGAATATGGGACCCCTCGGTTTTCCTGGTCCTTGCAAGCTTCCAGTGTTTAGCTGGATTACCACCTCCTTGAGGGCAGACCTGTGCCTTTTGCCTCCCTGATGATCCTGGCTATGCCCAGCAGAATGCTACTCAGTGGGAATTGACTAAGGAGGGGCAAAGGGACGAGGGTTTTAGACAGGGCCTGGGAAAGGTTGGGTGATCTTGACGGGCACTGATGGGCACTGGAAGCAGGGCTGTGCTCACGGAGAGACCTGGAGTGAGGCAGAAAGTGGGACTCTGGAGCCAGGCTGCTGCGGCTCAGCTCTGGATGAGCCTGTCAACTAGCTGTGTGGCCTTGGCAAGTGACTGAACCTCTCTGAGCTTTTGTTTCCTCGGCTGTGTAGTGGGATGATCATAGCACCTGCTTCATGGTGTGGTTGTGAGGCCCAGTGGCTTAGTTTATTTAAAATACTTTGAACAGTGCCTGGCACACAGTCAGTGCCCAGTGAATGTCAGTAATTGTTATTACTAGGGGTGATGGTGGTGGTGGCGGCTTTCCTCCAGGGGCCCACTGCTGGGCTGACCCTGTCTCTCTCCACATGGTTGTTCCCATCCGTAAGGTGGGAGGATTATGGGACCCGAGGGTGGAGGGGATGGTTGCATCATGTTCCCTTGAGGGGTCCTAACCTCAAAGTCCAGAGACCCCTCCCTTCTCTCCCTTGCTCGCTCACTCTGTCATAGGGGGAGAGAGAGAGCTAAGGGGACCTCCGGAAGCCTTGCCTGCCCAGGGAGCTGATGCAAATTTGTGCTTATGGAGGACTCTGAGAAAGTTGCTGTCACTGTAAACAAGATGCATTGTTGTAACCCAGCCCAAGTGCCCCTTCTTGGATCCCACCCCATCTCTTGATGAGGGTCACTGGACAGGACACTCCTCGGCCTGGCAAGGGCCTATCCTGGTCTCAGGGCAGACTGCTCCTGACCATGGGCTATATTCATAGGTGTGGCATCTATATTTTAACATGGGACCCTGCACCCCCCAAACTGCTGTAAGTACCTTCTAGGTCTCTCTAAAGCAGGGCTGTC